GGCCCGATACCCGGTATTCGTATACTAGCAGAACCTGTGGTAGTTTAAGCTGTTGGCCTACCTGTTTGAAACGGTTTTCACCTTTGCAGTAGGACATGCAGATCCCAGGGTTCGATCCCTAGACCTTACCTCACCCATGTACAGTAATAAATCGACCCTGTGTGATTTGAACCCGCGACCTGTGTTTTGGTAGTTGAATGTAGGCTGTTGTAGGTCTGTGTAGCTGTCGGGTCTCGAACTGTAGACCTGTCGAAGTAGGGGTCATAGTTGCGTAGAGGCCGTAGCTGTAGCAATTCTGAAAGGTCAACGCGGTAGCTGCTACAGTCCTGCAAGGTCAAGGTCGTAGCTGCTACAGTTCCGAAAGGCCAAGTCCGCAGGCTTCCGGAAGGTCAGGAAGTGGCCTTTCGAACTTTGTTCACAGAAGACCAGAGGCAAGCGGGCAAGTGGTGAGTCCAACCTTGCTTAGTCAGCGGTACCCAGCCCCAGTCTCACTTAGCCCAGTCAGCAAGTACCATGGGGCCCGGTGGAAAGGGGGCAGACCAGCGACCAACAGAAGTATAAATCAAGAGGCAGGGTCCAGTCATTCATTCATTCCTGCGTGAGCCATGCGGAAGCGCTTCCCAGGCGTCTTGTGCAAGGTGGTCTGCAGATGCCCGGAGTCGGAATGGGCTGAAGGACGTAGCAAGCGGCCATAGCTGCCATAGGTTAGAGATAGTGTCTCCGAGTGTAAGTGAGTCTGAGTGGAGTACAGCGCGAGTGTGTGTGGGATGTCCAGGGAGATCCAGAGTTGACTGCGTGTAAACAGTGGATGTAAACTCTGAGTGGATAAGTGAAGTGAAGGCGTTCAATCCCGTATAGCCATTTTGAAGCAAGTTTGCATCCAAGTCGGTGGGCGCCTAGCGCTACTGTGGATTGCCATCTGTTTGCATGTACGCAAAGTGGACAAAAGCGAGTCTGAGTGCATGTTTGTTACTTGGACTAATCCAATTCAGTGGGTTTAGGCAGAGTTGGCCTAGAAGCAGATTAACTGTATGAGCTGCTAGTGTAACTTGACGTGCTCTGTTACCCGCCTAAAGAGTTATGCAGTGGATCTGCCACTGTCAGCTGCGAGGCCACTGCTGTCCTCCCCTGAACATAACGCACGCTGATCCTGAATGCAGTCATCTTTCCAGTCTCGTACATTCATGATGATGGCATGTTGTGCTCTGCAGAAGACGGTAGGCTGCTGTGTTAAGTGCCTAGGTAGTCAGAGAGTTAAAACCACCAGTGCCACCGCCAGCTACACTGCACACCCACAAGTTAACCCAATGGAACGAAATGGTTCGGCTCACCGGACCAAAAAGACTGGCAGTGCCAACTGGCCTAGCTGAGGCGGTACACCACTGAGCGGTTGAAGCACAGACCTGAGTTCGAACTCCACTGGAAGCAGATGAGTAAAACACAACAATTGTAGTGCCCACCTAGAGCCGGTCCGTTCAATGATGAGATCCCAAGGCTATCACCCTTTTTTTTTTGGAAAACATAAAAAGGCTGGCAGCGCACGGTAGGCACTCATCCAATTTGGAAATTTAGGGGCACAAGCCGCACAAGCAAAATCCCGCATCCGGAAAAAAAGAGGCTCGAAGGTGGTGGTGATTAACCTGGCAGGTTCAGCAAAATCCCACATACCGGATCCTAAAGGCTGGAAGCGCCCGACAGGCCCTTGCTGGGAACGCTTCAGAAATTTAGGGGGTGGGCAAAATTGCACACCCGATAAAAAGAGGCTTATACCACCAGTACTTGGCCCAGCTATCGGCCGCGGAAAAAAATAGAGTAGAAACGTTTCTAGTCGAATGAATTTGGGCGCTCCTGTAGTAGCCCGTACGTTTCCTAAAATCATGGTGCGTTAACGGGCACGACTCTAGGAAGTACTGGTGTGTTATGACCCTGGCCAATTTCGAGATACACATCCACTAGAAAGTACAATGTCATCCAATTGCAGAAAGAAATGAATGAACTTGAGAGGTGAGAGAGGAGTAGAAGAAGAAGAAGTAAGAAAGAAGAAGAAGAAGATGTACACCAGCAAAGACAATGACAAGGCTCTTCTTCTTCGCCCAACAATCTCCTCCTCCTTATCTCCCCCTTCTCTTATTCATACAAGAAATAATAATACAATGTTGAATGACTGGTCCAGAATCATGTCCGAGTCCCTTTTCTACTGCAGGTATCACTGAAGGTCCACCATAGCCATGGCCGCCTCTCCCACTCTTCACACACATAGGCCGAGGCTATGGCGAACTACTAGGCCTTGCTCCGATGTCCAAAGGACAACTCAGAGCAGCTATAGCTGCTCCAGCTCAGGCCGCCATGCCCAGCCCTGCCTTGAAGCTTCTTGGTGTAGCTCCCCCCTGCTGGGGACTCCTTACTGCAGCGCCCACCAAGGTGATGAAGATGGCTGCCACCATAGCCAGGTAAGTACCCCTGGCGCTCCTCCCCCTTCCTCCTTCCTTCCTCCTTCTTCCTCCCTCGTGTCCTTCTTCTTCCTCCCCAGCAGCGCAGCTCCAACCCAGCGCTG